ATAAGATTTTCTAATAGTTTAAATATTAGTCTCTCATGGATGTGGGTGTGCATGTGCATAACAGTGATTTCTACTTCCCAAGCAGACAAATTTTTTCAAGAACGCGTTTAAAAGCATGAAAAAGTGTTTTAAAAATAAAAAAAGTGGACGTTTTTCGCTCACAATCGCAGTTCCCGACTGTGAGCGAAAAACACCCGTTTTTGTGCGTTTTCAGCCAAAAACGATTGTAGAAGCGTATAAACGCATAAAAAAGAACATAAAAACTAGTGATCTTTTTCATAATCGTTAATCGCAATCATGATTACAATGACAGTTTACGATTATGAAAAAGACCACTAGTTTTTATGTTCTTTTTTTATGCGTTTATACGCTTCTACAATCGTTTTTTGACTGAAAACGCGTGTAAACGCACAAAAACGGCAAAAAGCGGGTGTTTTTCGCTCACAGTCGGGAACCGCGATTGTGAGCGAAAAACGTCCACTTTTTTATTTTTAAAACACTTTTTCATGCGTTTAAATGCGTTTTTGAAAAAGTTTGTCTGCTTGGGTTGCACACCCACATCCACACCCACCCACGCCCACAAACAATATATGAAACCGAGAAATTTACATGTCGTAAATCTATGAGGATGTATGTATCTGGTTGAGGATCATTGTAATACAGATGTTCATAACTACAAACATAGATGCAACCTCATTTTCGAAAACTCAATGTTACTTGGCTAATTTTGGTTTTTAAATAATATTACAATTCTTTTTCCAAAATAGCAATATATTTTTGTAGACGTTTCATCGTTGAATGATTTTCCGGTAATGAAACTTGTCCGATTTTTAGTGCTCGTTCAAAATACGACAATGAAGTTGAATACTTTCCGGTGTTGTAATATAATGCACCAAGATTCATGTAAGTAGTCATAAAGTCAGAATGATTAGGTGACAAAGATGTTTCTTGAATTTGAAGCGCTTTTTCATAGTATGAGAGTGCATTGGAGAACTCTCTCATACTTTTATACACAATACCAATGCTATTATAGGTATTGGCAATGTAAGGATGATTACGAGAAAGAGATGTTTGTTGAATTTGAAGTGCTTTTCGATAAAACAACATGGCACTAGAATAGTCTTCCAGATAAAACTTGATATTTCCAATGTTGTTGTAAGTAACGGCTAGATCAGGATGATTGGAATTTAAAACTTTTTCATTAATTTTAAGTGCCTTTCTATAGAACAAAAGTGCCTTGTCGAATTCGTTCATTTTTTCATAAACTCTGCCAATATTATCATACACGATGGCAAGGTCAGGATTATCAGAACTCAAAATGAGTTCTTGGATGCGAATAGCTTTTTCATAGTACGATAGTGCATTTACATAATCTTCCATAAACGTGTAGATTTGTGCAAGATTATTGTAATTGATTGCAAGGTCAGGATGATGTGAAGATAAAACCTCTTCGTTGATTTCAAGAGCCTGTTGATGGTATGAAAGTGCAGTTACGTGATTTCCTAGTTTTTGATGCAAAAGTCCAATGTTGTCGTAAGTGATGGCTAGATCTGCATGATTCGAAGGCAGAATTTCTTCTTGAATTTTTAATGCTTTTTCATAATACAAAAGTGCATTTTGTAATTTTCCCATTTTGCTATTTGAAACTCCAATGAAATTGTATAATGAAGCAAGATCGACATGACGCGATGGTAAAATTTTCTTTTGTATTTGAAGTTCTTTTTCAAAAAAAAGGAAGCCTCATCATAGCTACCATTCTTAAATTTGATGATGCCCAGATTATGATATAGAAGTGCCGTTGCTTTCTTATCACTAATATCGATCGATTCCATTAAGATTTTGTACAAGTCTTCGGCGCGTTTTAACTTGTTGACAAAAATCATCACTTGGCCTAATTTATTCCAACCTTTTTCTTTTGGTGCTAGTAAGCTCATAAATCCAATAGACAATTTCAACGAGTAATCATTCTCATTTGCCCCAGTCAATTGTACGTGCCAAATGTTCTTCTCAGTTTTTGCCATGCTGGCGATGCGAAAAACACTGTTCATAGAAAATAAAACATCGTTGTTTGTATTGGAATCATAGCTTAATTGATCCAAACTGGCAAATGGTATAAATTCGGAGTTGATAGGATCAATTTCGATTTTAAAGAGAACGGGAAATACGTCAATACTTTGTTGAGCATTAGAGCAGACATTGATTTCAAATTCTCGTTCAATGTGGGCTAATAAGAAGCTACTGAACGATACATAATCATCTTTGTTTTGTTGTAACAAATTAAAATCACTAGTATTAAGTTTTAGACATCGATAAACAGTTAATGGGTCCAGTAACTTTGATTTTTTCTCATGAATATTTTTTATTTGTCGACAAATGTCTCGCAAAAATAAACCCATTTTGATTATAACTTTCATGTCCATAGTTCGAAAAGCTTGATTGATTATTGAAGAAAGAAAACATTCTCGTGTATACCACCATATAGGTGAATGTTGATCGTAGTCTACTTCGAACTCGTTGACGATTTTCAACATGGTTTGGTCTTTGACATAATATTTGCGTAATAGCTCAATCATGCTTTTTTTATCGTGTTCAACATCGAATAGAATCATTTTAATCACTTGTAAATACTGGAAAGACAGTTCGACTCCATCTTGTTTTGTTTTTAAGATCTCTTCTGCAGAGAAGACGCTAATAGTGATTGATTCACCACCACATAGTTTCGTTTCATAATAAAATGAATCATGACTTGACACACCCTAGGAAGAAAAATTCGTTAACTATTGGTTCATATCCACAAGAAAAAGGATAAGCAACGGCTGCGTTCAGCTGTCGAATCATTCAATCATTCAACTTGAAACTATTGCTGCAGGAAAGTGGAAGTGAACAAGCCGATTAGGCAGATAAAAATTAGAAAATCAGAATATCACAATATTGTAGATTAAATCTAGAACTACACATGTTGGCAAATCTTTTGAATTGTCTGCGGTTTCACTTCATTTTGCAAAACATGATGGGAAATTAGTATTGAAGTTATATAGCGAGAAAGCTGTACCCCTCTCCTCGCTACCACACATCTCCTTATGCTACTTCATGAACCTTAACGCGAACTCTGATCAATATAGAGAGGGTCTTTATATAAAAAAAAACCAAGCCCATCACTGCTTATATTTTAATCACACACATATTGAGTGTGAAGCTATACTTTCAGTTAATTATGATTTATTTAATTATAATTTTTACTCATCGTTAGCCCTCACTCTCCATCGAATCATAACTTTTTTTTATCCATCGATTTTTTAAGGATTTTGATTCTAAATTAATATTTTTAGTCTTAAAAAGTCGATTGCAACTGAAAATAAGTCTGGATAATTATGCAACAGTAAGTTTTCTGAGATGGCACCATCTTTAGTAAAACTCTAAACTCGAAAACTAAGCAAATGCAGCAGATGCGACCGATACTGGCGATTTCAGCGTCCTTGTATTTTATCACCATCCGTTTTTGAGCGATTTGGACGACGTGAGTCCTTCTTTTCTTTTTGACTGAAAATAATTCTTTTATTCGAAACTGAAGTTTCTATCAGTGAAATTGATCTGTAGACAATTAAACACTAAGGATCAGATAAAAGTACACGAATGATCAATAAAACTGCCGAATCCAGCATATCTATTTTTCTTTGTTTCATTTATTCTGTTTTAATATATAATTTACTACCAGTACGTATATAAGTAAGTCTAGTGGCTAAGCCGCTGCCGTGATCCAAAAAAAGATTTTCGCTTTTCGGAAATTTTTTATACTCATGTCAAGATCAGTTTTCGAACGAGTTCTGCGTACAAAAATAGGAACAAAGTTTTCATTTAATGTATTGGTAATGATTTAAAATTGATGAAAATAAAAATTTTTAATCGATTCAAATAAGAACTCCTTGATTTTAATCTATGTTATCGGTATTTTTTTCTTTGTGAATAAATGATTTTTGAACCAGTAACTCAAAGTATAGCATGCGTGTGAAACCATTCTCCAGCGTTGTATTTATCATTTGTTGAGTCAAAGAGTGAGAGAGACTTAAAAAATGTCAATTTCTCAAAAAAAAAGCTCGAGAAAAAACCATTTTACGGTCATCTTGATTAAGATCAATAAGCAATGAATAATCGGATTTAAATTAGAATACAATCAGACATTTTTTTCTTTTGTTTTTACTTGGTTTATCCAGATTTTCACTCAATTCACTATCATCGCCATATTTATCTTTACAATTTCAAAATCCGTCGAAGTCAAGAAAATTTAATAAAAAAGAGTACTTGAAATCGTCGAGCTGCCACTACTATAGGAAAAAAATGAAATATTTAACAGACCATGCTGTCGAACATGTAAAAAATTGAAGCTATTAGGCCGCCGCCAATCAAATCAGCCGGTAACAACTCTACCGGTACAGAGAAATAAATAAAATGAAGCAAACATATTTCAATTTTTAACATCGATTGCATGCCAGTATTACAATAAATCTAATAGTAATAAAAAAGAAGTATTAATCCTTTTTGTATTTTCATCTTATTTTAAGTGTTGAATTTTGTGAAGAAGATCAATTTCATTGGTTGAAACGCCTAGTTGACGTAAAATTATTTTCAGTTAAAAGGAAAAAGAAGAGAATCTTTAGATAAACGACAAAAATTTTTCTTCATAATTTCTGGTGTGTTCAATACAATAGTTAGGAAATAGTGTTTGACGTTTTGTGCCCTCAAAATCTAGCAGACCGTATACCCCATTAGAAATATTCAAGGTTTACTGTAAAACAGCTATCCAAATGATCGTATCGACAAAAACTACAGGCATATTCACATCTTTATTTTGAAAATTTCTATTTGGTTCTTCATGAGCGAATACATCTGTGGCATCGGAAATCAACCAAAAAACGACAAATGTCTTCACAACACACATTGATAATGAATATTTTGCGAGTCGTACATCCATCTCCAATAGTCTAAATTTCATATTCATCTCTTCTTTATTGAAATAATGTGCCTGTAGTCGATGAAGTTCCAAGTGCTGTATGTAATATTTACACACCAGGGAGAATGCTCTTAACCCTTTACGGCCGGCTCCTTGAAGCGAGAGAGTAAAAAAATTCTTTTTCCACATATTTGTAGTTCTATCAGCATGGAGATATCAAAAGTATACTCGTTATCACGGAAAAGTTCTCCGTTGACGAACGGAGAAATGGTACCAAAAGGTAACATCCGGCCCTAGGGGTTCAAAAATTTGGAAAAGGTTAGCTTTTTATGTCTATCAGAGTTTGATATTTCGTGGCTTTTTGGAATCCATATGTTGATACTAGATACCAGTTTATCTTCTTATCCGTCTTCTGCAAGTCAGAGTTGGGATATCTCCAAAATATTCTCAAATTTTGCGAAATAATGCAAAAATAGTCAGTTTTTGTCCAGAGAAGCTCTGTAAAAAGAGAAGACTCAGGAAAATCGGAGAGCAGTCCAGAGTGTTTCAACGTAGACTATTACAGAATTGTTTGAAATTCTCTGAAAATTTCTAGAATCTTCTTGTTTTCCAGAACTTCTCTGGATAAAAACTGACTATTTTTGCATTATTTCGCAAAATTTGAGAATATTTTGGAGATATCTCAACTCGGACTTGCAGAAGACGGATAAGAAGATAAACTGGTATCTAGTATCAACATATGGATTCCAAAAAACCACGAAATACAAAACTCTGATAGACATAAAAAGCTGACCTTTTCCAAATTTTTGAACCCCTGGGGCCAGATGCTACCTTTTGGTACCATTCCGATTTTATATTGTTCAAGTTTACTCACTAATCCTTCTTAGTTGTGTAATAGATCATAGATCTATGGAAGAAAATCAGTCGCTAATTGCTTCTTTGATTGAATGCCTAGACACGAAGAAAGACAAATTTTCAGATACGGATGCTTTTTCGCCCGACCATAAACTGAGCTCTTCACTTCTTCACTAACAGGTTTTAGATCTAGTACGAATAGATGAATTTATGCGAGGATGTACTAGCGTAATTATCAATGTGTTGGAAAAATTATGCAACGTTAACACAAGTGAACCCGACAGAAATACTGACTTCATGTGCCCATTTGGTACTATCCGGCCGCAAAGGGTTAACAATCGTATTTTTTATAGTCAACAGTAATGTTTTTGAATGAGGTTCATAATATGCTTTCTTTCTTCTTTTCCTTTCTCATTTCAGTCGCTTTAAATAATAAACAATGTCGCCACTTCTGCTTTTTTTCTTTCCTTTCTGTTTTTCTAGATATTTTATGTTGCATATTTCGGCTTGTCCAAACGTAACGCTGTTACGTTTTTGACACACTGTTCTTCAATTAACTCGGAAGGTTTAACAGCTAGAAAGTTCATTCAAACGCCATTCGACACAGC